ACCTCCAAGATCATCCAGTCCAACCTGTGACCCATCACACACCTTATCAACTAGACCAGAGCACTAAGTGCCACATCCAGTTGTTTCTTGAACACCTCCAGGGATGGTGACTCACCTCCCTGGGCAGCTCCTTGCAATGCCTGACAGCCTTTTCCATGAAGAAATTCCTCCTGATGTCCAAGCTGAACCTCCCCTGGCACAGCTTGAAGCCATTCCCTCTTGTTCTGCTGCTTGTTCCCTGGGAGAAGAGGCTGATTCCCACCTGGCCATACCTTCTGTCAGGTAGAAAGGAGATAGAAAGTTACTGCTCTGTGCTACAGCACCTTGTCCTGGAGAGCAGCACAGGAGTTTGGCAACTGTCAGAGCTGGACTCCTAAATCCTCGGGGAACACATGGCTCAGGGGAATAGTAAAGGGTTTGGGTTAAGCTGTTAGTCACTACTAACAATTTCAAGTGCAGCACCGAGGGGGAGGAAGAACATCCTCTACAACCTCTAAAAAGAAACACACTCCTTCATACAACAGGAGATTTATGAACTGAATTTGAACTGATCAGGCCATGACCTCTTCCAGGAAGGGGCATCCACACCTAACCCAGAGCTGGAAGCTTTACAAGCACCACCAATAAAGACTAGAGATGAAGAGTGATTTATTAGTCACCAACAACTTTCTCAGTATCTTTATAAGCTCCAGGAGGTTGGTATCCAGCACCACGAGGCACATCCAGCTCTAACAGCCAGCACTGCTGCACAGCTAAGTGCTGACAGCCAGAAGTCACCAGAGAACAGAGATCCACAGCTGAATTTCCATAAACTGTGTTCCCATTTAGTTTCAGGCTCAGCTCAGCGTTTCACTGTGGGTGGGCTATAGGCTGGACTCTGTGAGCAGTGCACACACAGTATGTACTATGTACTGCATACAGCTGCCTGTGGGAGCTGCTGTGCCAAAATTTGCACCAGCCCCATTTCCAAAGGCAGGAGTGGGGTGGGAGACGAGGAGGAAGGCTGTTTCTTACTGTGGGATGTGTGTGGCAGGGAAGGAAGCAACAAATCCCTGCCAGCTCTGAGTGCAAGAAGGGTCAGCAGTGCCTCAAAGGTTCAGAACACTGCTGAAAATGGGGTTTTTCCTGCAGGTCCCTGACCAGGTGCCTTCCAGCTACAGCATCAACTGGACCTCGTGGTGCATCAGTACCACATCCAGCACAGTCACTTCAGTCCACTCCTGCCCCCAGGGTTTGCATTTGCAATCAAATCACCTTCGTGATTTGTGTTGTTCCAAAAACTCAGTGAGAACGCAAGAAAAATAGCTGGGAAAGGAGTTCCTTCTCCTTTGGAGAATCATCCATGTGAACCCTCTGGAGGAGCTGAGTTATGCCATCACTGCTGCTCCTGCTGCTGGAGAGAGACTTTGGACAAGGGTCTGGAGGGACAGGACACAGGGAATGGCTTCACACTGCCAGAGGGCAGGGATAGATGGGATGTTGGGAAGAAATTCCTCCTGTGAGGTGCTGAGTCACGGGCACAGGTTCCCAGAGAAGCTGTGGCTGCTCCATCCCTGGGAGTGTTCCAGGCCAGGCTGGATGGGACTTGGAGCAACCTGGGCTGGTGGAAGGTGTCCCTGCCCATGGTTCCCTGGTAGAACCAGTCTGTGATTCTATTGTACTGGAATGCTGTTGTCTCCTTGATATCCTCCCTCTACCTCAGTTTGTTCCCTGAGTTCATATTGAAGGCAGATTTACTAAGGAAGTGACAATCTTCTGGTGTTCTTCCTCACCCAGCAGTGTCTGTAAGATGCAAAGAACTGGGAATACATTGCAGTATTTTCTCTCCTTACTGGATTGAAATTTACACCAGAGTCAGTATTGAGGATCTCAGTGCTTTACCCCAACCCCGTAACAAAGTCTGGACAGTAAAACTGAATTCCTAACTCTGCAGAGATTTGCCCTGAAGAATTTGGGGCAATTTGAAGACAACAAATGGTGGCAGAACATCTCCTTCTGGAGTCTCCCAGACTGTGAAGTGGGCCCTGAGCCTCCACGACCACGAACAAGTGAAGAACCAGGCAGGAAGGATGAGCTGATGGACTCCAACCAGAGTCCTGGCTGCACACCACATTTCCTCCACCACTTATCCCTGACCTACAGCTTCTCCCATCCTTCAAGGGGGAATTACAAACCCTCCTACCTCCCTTGAGCCCATCTGTTTGGTTTGTAAGTCCTCCAGGGCAGAGGCTGGTTTTTATTTGTGTGCACAGCACCACATACAGCAGGTCCTGCTCTTGGCCAGGGCTCCAGGCATGAGTGAAACACAAAGCAATGACGATATCTTGATCAAACACGAACAACTCAGATAAACAATAGAAAAGCAGCTTGATAGTTTTTTTCCTGCTGTCTCTGCTTTTCCATGACTTGTTTATTCATCCCAAAGCCTCAGTAGACAGCTAATCAAGCTGTTAAAGAGGCAGATTTGTGGTCAGTCAAGCACTTGGGGAGTTGTTAAACGTTCAAAACCAGTTCTAGTCAGCAAACAGTTTTTTTTTTTTTTTGTTTCCCTTCTCCTAGATAGTGCTGTGGCTTCTTTGCTCATTGTCTACTCACCATTTTCCTACCACAACAGTGATACAACCTCTCTACTAACAGGTCTCACTGAGCCTGGGCAGGGACACCTGCCTTTTCCAGGTCTATCTCTGCAGTGTTTGGTGCTGATCCAAATCACAGCAGAGTTAGACGAAGCAATGATTTCAGCAGGCTGAAGAAAGAAGGAAAAATGTGATAGTTTCCAGATGAGTGTATTATACTAAATTTAACATGCCTTTTGGTACTTAGAGTTTCCACTTTTCCCCCTTCCATTTATGTAATTAGAAATCAAGCAGCAGGAAATCATTCCTATTCCAACCTCGGTCGGGCTCTCCGCAGAGGGAAACAAGAGACTTGTCCTCACAAGAAGATATTTTGCAAAACTTACATGGACAGGTTCAAAAATGGGTTTGGAATAACACATCTTTAATGAACTAAAGCCAAACAAATACAGACTCTTTGTGTGGTAGTGATAGTTGCTTATACATATACATATATATATCCAGACAGACAAGCAAGGCAGCTGTGAAAAAAAAGAACACCCCAAAAAATTCAGTTCTTACCCCATTTAAGCAATGACAAACTTCATTTCTACTTTTAAATTGTGCAGTTTTTCTACACTCACCATTTTGAATTCACATTGATGAGTAATAATATTCAGATTATTCTCACTCTAGCAAGAGAGGGAATCACATTGATGAGTAATAATATTCTGATTATTCTCACTCTAGCAACAGAGGACACAGTCTCCAACCAGGAGAGCTCCAGGGCCAGGAGAACCACCTGATCAGAGTGGATCAAAGTAAGGATTGACTCTGTGAAGTCCTGTCTGAGCTGCAGCAGTGTGAGAGCAGGAGAGCTCCTCACCAGGGACATGAATTAAGTGGCACAGCACTGACTAAAGCTTCTTGTGCATGTTGACAGTTGTTACATTCAGGGTTGCCACTGCTTTTGTGTCTCCTGGTTCTTACCCAGGCTGATGCTCTTCCCTCCAGTGGCTTCCCAGCCTGCAGCACACACACAGAGAACCCAATCAAAGCCCTTTCCAAACCACAGAGGAGCTGTGGCTCCAAAGTACATAGCTCAAATGAAGAATTGGGGCTGGATAAAATGATTCAAAATTGGGAAGAAAGGAAGATCTCCTGTTTTCAATGAGCTGTTTTGCCCTGACTGCTCAACGCAGTCCGGTGAGGGAGGAGGTGGAAAAACAAGGACATGCCGGAGCAATGGTCCTGGATGGTATCATGCTCTGACAGTCTTAATGCTGCTCTGGCACCAAAGCTGTTTTGTTTCACAAGTCCTTTGCTCTAGGCAAAGCTCCTCAGTGTCTGCTGACTCTGGGCACAGCTCAACATGTTTCTCCAGTGTGCAAAATCCACACACAAGTGCCCAGGACTACTGCAGCACCCACACCACAGCTCAGGCCCCTAAGAGAAGGAGTTCCTCCAGCCCTCTGCACTCCCCTCAGTCCATTCCCTTCCTTTCCTGGCATGGCTTAAAAACCAAACATTGCACAACTTGTTTTCCTTTGTGTTTCTCTTTCTGGAGAGGAGGTTTTTGTCACTCTGTCAGCACTCACCATGCAGAACAGGCTTTCAATAAAGGCAGGTTCCATGTCCATCTATACCATTCCCTTTCTATCTGGAGACACTCCTTGTGCTACACAGACAACACACAGCAAATGTGGGACAAAGAGGTCCTTGAGGGTCAACTCCATAGCTAGAAAACTGTGCTGAGTGAAGAAGCAGTGAAGAACCTCTTGAGCCAGGAGAAGAGCAGCAGACAACACACCAACAAGTCATCACAAGGACTGGGGGTAGATGTAAAGTAAAAAGGAGCACTTGGAACAGTGTTTTGCCAAGGTAATAAAGAGCTTTAAATATCTGTGCCCCATTCCCAGACACTGAAACCTCTGCGTTCTCCTGGGGAAAAGGGTGAAAAAACAATCAGACTCAAAGGTAAGCTGAGAGCCAGATGGCATGAGGAGCTGTTTACCTCACCCACTATCCTGGGAAGTTTACAAACCAGGGTCACTCCATGACCCAAAGCTCCAAGAGCCAACACTGACTTGCTGCATCAGTCACACAGTTTGGATTTACCCTTTTGGACTGTGCCTCTTCCGAGAGGACAAAAATTCCAGTTTTCAAGGGCTGTACAAACAGGACATAGGAGTATTTATATTCCTCTCCAAACACCAGCACAAGCAGCAGGGGGCTAGAGGGTGATTTATGAGGTGGGAATGCTCCTTTGAAGTGGCTGTTGGCCGGGGGCTGCCTCAGGAGTGGGGAGGAACACACGACGGATGCTGTGCTGAAGAGCTCTCCCAGTGACTTTGGCCCAGGTGGTCACAGCTGTTAGGTACTGAAGTTCTCTCCTTCCATTCTCTCTCTCTCTCTCACCCACAGACAAAGTGAACACACCAGAGAAGGCCATTTTCCTTTTATTTATTTCCCAGAAGAGCTCTCCCTTGCGCTTTTCAGACACGATACAAAACAAGCAACAGAACTTTGTTTCCTAGACAGAAACAGTTTGTTGGAGTATAAAGAGTTACTGGTGATCGGTACTGAACAACGTTGGCTTATTCCAGGGGCACTTCAGTATTCCTGAGGAATAATCATTGATTTCTCCTTCCTTCCCACTGGGATAGTCTTAGTCATTAGTCACTGTTCCTGTAAAGCAAGAAGGCTTAGATTATTGAAAAGCCACTTGGGTTCCTTACCTGGAAGGTGCTGCAGGATGGAAAGCAAGTTCTGGAGCTTAGTAACCTTTCCAGAAGGTACACCAACATTTTCAGCCTCTGCTAGAGCAAGTTGTGTGTGGAGAGATTCAGCAGCAGAACCATGCCATGTTTTCATGTATAACCTTCCCTCCTGGTAAACTGGATCCTCCAAAAAAACCAACATTATTGTTCAAGTTACCTCTTCACAGACTGAAGAGAAACCAGACAGAAATCAAAGCCACTAAAGGGCAGGAGGAAAGGCTGCAGTTGCCTTCTTGTTTACTTGCACATCAATGTAATCCATCACAGCCCAGGGCTGTGGGGCTCTGAGTGATCAATACAGGCTAAAGAACCAGAAAAATATGGTGTTTTCCATTTTGCACTGAATTGAGCCTGTGTAACTCACAGCCACAGCATCTGAAGCCTTGAAATAATTGCTACATGCTGACTTTCAACTCTGCTGAAGTCACAGGGAAATCCCCTTGGTCAAATCACTTTAGAAGCCTCAGACTCTGGTGAGCATAAATTAGAGCTTTGCTGCATTTTAAGCAGTCTCTTGGTCTGCCTGAATGGCTCCTGCTCTGCTGTTAAGAGTTTCAGGATCACATTGCTGACCCAAAGGATGAGCAGTGAGATGATCCAAGTTTCAGTCAGAACAGCTGCAGAGTCACTTTGTGATCCCCTGATTACTAAGTATCGTGAAGGTTTTGTGTCCTCTCTCATTCTCACTCAGAATTCAGACCTTGATCCTGAAGAATCAAGAATCCCAACTTGGTAAAGCCCCACATAACCTGCTCTGACCTCACAGCTGACCCCCATGACCTCCACAAAGTCCTTTTCAGCTCGAGTTATCCTGTGATCCTGTGAACTTGACAGGCTCAGGAAACTAGAAATCATTCCAGCCAAGTTAATCTGTTACGTTTCTCTCTCTCAATGAAGCTGTTTTCTTGCAGGATCTCTCATGTTGACAAGTTCACATTTGAGCAGAACTCAATTTTGTAAGGAAGTCCTACAGCAATTAGTTACAACAAATTTTCTAAGAAAAAACCAGATGAGTGATAATGCCACAATATTTTCCACGCTCCTCACCAACAGGAATGAAATAATTCTGTTGTAATAACCCTGGAGCCTTTATCCATGACACGACAGCTTGGAGGGAATTAATGACATTAACCATTCCATGGCTCCATCCACACTCTCCCTCCTCCCTCAGCTTGCTCAGCCTCTTGTGCCAGGGAAAGCCATGGAGACAGTGCACTGGAAACTATTTGTCTAGCCTTGTGTGCCATGCAGGCAGTTGTGCTGCTTCTGTGAAGTGTCCTCTCAATTACCTCATGCTCCCAAGGACCACCCTTGCTCCAGAGCACAGATTAGTCCCTAATCCCAACAAAATCCCTTACCAGGCTGAGCTGACAGTCAGTTTTGTGCTGCCCAACATCCCTAGGAACATCCTTGAATGAATTATGCTTTCTCAGAGCATGTCTGTGGCTTCACACGTGATAAATGTCCTGTTGACATGTCATTCCAGCTGCTTTTTGGGGAGTATTACCCTCAGGATGGTGTGGAAAGCTAACACATCTTCACGTTAACAAATGTGGCCAGAAGAGTCACACACAGACTTTTGAATCTGGGCAATGCTCTCTCAGCTGTATCCAAGTCACAGTTTCTCTATATTGCTCTCCAAGGTATTTTATTCCCAAGGAGCTGTTGGAGAATCTTGTTTCCCTTTCTTAACAGGCAGCTGGAGAACACATTTGTAAGCAGGTATGCCTGGTAGGGCTGCAGAAGGCAAAGTTCACCTACAGTAAATCTAAGGACTGAGCTCAACTTCCAGCTCTGGATGCACCAGGAGCAGCCTAAAAACACCTCCAGGCCTCCTTCATCAGGCAGATGAGTGATCCAGGAGCAGTTTGTGCACTCTGTGTACTTCAGGAACAGCTCCTGGCAGAGTATTTTCCCTCAGCACTTCCTGAAGTAACTGTAAATATGTCCTGGTGGATGTCTCTCCTCTGGTCTCATTGCAATGACTGTGCACTGTTGGCACTTTGTGAGCTCACAAATGGTTCCACAAATGATCAGTGCTAAGGCTGAACTCACTGAAATGATCTTCTTCAAAACTGCTGAAAGTGTACAACGTTTTCTGACTAATTACTACATCACTATACAGCCAAACAAGCCACAAAACTTACAAGTGATCAGTGTTCTCATGTTGAAAAAAAAAAGCCCCAAACCCTACGGGAGATCAAAGCTCTGCTTACACAGGCAGATCTACCTTAAGTGCCTGACATGACTTTCAGTTTCTTCCCAGCTCATCTCTTTCAAACTCTGAAGAATCTTAGTATTTGTCTAGTTTCTCTGCTTTTCTGACCTGTATTTTTATTACAAGTGTTTTCAGAGCGGGGGAAAATCATAGAATCAACCAGGTTGAAACCCTACGGGAGATCAAAGCTCTGCTTACACAGGCAGATCTACCTTAAGTGCCTGACATGACTTTCAGTTTCTTCCCAGCTCATCTCTTTCAAACTCTGAAGAATCTTAGTATTTGTCTAGTTTCTCTGCTTTTCTGACCTGTATTTTTATTACAAGTGTTTTCAGAGCGGGGGAAAATCATAGAATCAACCAGGTTGGAAAAGACCTCCAAGACAAGATAGTCCAACCCTCCCGTGGTCACTAGACCATGGCACTAAGTGCGACATCTAGTCTCATCTTCAAAACCTCCAGGGATGGTGAATCCACCACCTCCCTGGGCAGCACATTCCAATGCCTGAGCACTCTCTCCAGAAAAAACCTCTTCCTAATAGCCAACCTAACCCTCCCCTGGCAGAGCTTGAGTCTGTGCCCTCTTGTCCTACCTGGAGGCTCTGTTAAGCTAATTCCATTCCATTCAGCTCATTCAGTTTATGGTTAAACACAGTTATTAAAGTTATTAAAAACGTCTGAGGGGTGAGGGAACTAATCCTGCTCTGGCAACACAAGTTTCTTCTTCCTAGTTCTCCTCTGGGAAGAGAATACCCATTGAAATGGATGTGGTAACTCATAAACAGTTACTGACATAAACTGACTTTGATACTTACTTTTACAAATTTACCATGAAGAAGATATGGAGACTGGAAGTCATGTTGACAATTGGAATAAGCCATTCCTAACCCCATCCCTGACCCAAAAGTGATAGGCCATGTCTTTCCTGTGGGGGAGGCAAGAGGAGAGGAGAAGTTAAAAGTCAAGTTTGGTATCTATCAGCACCAAGAATAAGTTACTAAAAGATCTCTCTAGGCATTTCCAAGTTCTGCAATCCTAAACTGAGCTACAAACCAGGCACTGCAGAAGAACAAGAGTTAACAGTAAGACATCACACTTGGAATTTAACAGAGCAACCTCTGAGTTCAGTGTCTTACTGAAAACCATTACCAAAGCAGAGCTGAAGAAGAACTAAGATCAGTTTTAAAGCCCTGGCAAGAGTGGCATAAACTGATGTCTAGACACATGGCTCCAGTGACTTGGCTCAGGGTTTCCTGCAATTCCAGGATCTGGGCTGAGCACGGGAGGAGCTCAGAGAGGCACTGTGGGGAATAACCTTGTTACACAACAGCTGGACATTCAGGGAACTCCATTTCAACTGGAAAGACAGGACAGGTAATGAAGGAATGGGTCTAAGGTGCTAATGAAGTTTTCTCGGGTTTAAATTGGGGAATCAGGGAGAGAGGTGACTGCAGAGCACTTACTTTTGAAGAAGATGACTGAGAAAACAATTCCTAATCCAAATCCAGCACCTGTGAGAAGAAAAGCAGGGAGTGAGGACTAAGATAATGCAGAGTCATAAAAAATTATTTAGTTCTTTACAGGATTTCTTTGTTCCAATTCAGAAAGATCAGACTGTATCTGACACCAAACAAAGTGTTGTCAAACAGCAACTCTGAAACACACAGTTCTTGGTTTCTCAGCACTAATTCAGACTAGAATCCCAACATAACAAGTCCATTATCAGAAAGATTTGGGAAACAAAACCAGACTCTCATCCCAGGGAAAGTTCCTGAATTTCTGTCACCATCTACAACGTGGAATGAAGATTTATTTGGCTCGTTGTCAGCGAAGGAGAAACACTTAAACGAAAACTTATTGTGTCCTTGAGCTTTAGGTTGTGCAGATGAATATCTCGTTGTGTTTCCTTTATCTCACTGCTTTAACTGCTTCAATGTGTGTCCTGAGGGCAGCAAACTTTGAAGCTTTGTGTTACCCTATACCTTACAAAAGAAAGCTCTAGGCTGCTTATCTTTCACATCCACAACATTCATTATGGAGCATATTTAAACACATTAGGAATGAAGCACTTTTCACATCCTTCTACTATATATAGAAATAACTGCGGCAGTTGAAGAGAATTTATCCAACAGATTTAACAAGGATTTTTGCTTTCCTTGGAAGGTGAGTTGAAGATTTGCTGCAAGAAGTCAGGCAAGTCTGCAAAACTCCTCTCAGGACCCAATAAATATACCAGTGAAAACTTGGAGCTGAGTGGGCAAATTTTACCTTTAATTATAGCCACTAAAGACAAGAATTTTAGATAAGACAAGGAAGGACAAAAGTTTAAAAAAAGAAAAAAAAATCAGCACATTAAACATATAGAGAGAGTTTCAGGCTCATTTTGCAGCAAACACATCCTGTTAGGGCTTTCAATTCTCTCCTTTCAAGACAAGAAATCTAATTTAAGTGCAATGAGTTTGTTAATTAAAATACATCTTTTTCTGTATGCCTAAAAGCATGTGATCCTTATTTGAGCAGTAAGTCAATGCCAAGGAATCCTGTACCCTCCTGGCATATAGGAATGACTCCCTTTAAGTTTCCTTCTGCCCTTCAAATCCTTTTTCCTTGCAAAAATGTACTACAAGTAGTTTCTATTGAGGAACAGATTGCTCAAACAATACTTAACACACCCTAAGTACCTTAGGATCCACCACCAAGTACATCACTAAGCATCCCAAGATTTTTATTGATCATAAAACCTTGCGATGACCAAATAAGATCTGAGCCAACCCCCTTATGTTTACACTCCTGTTAGGACCTCACCATCCATATTTACTGAGCTGGAAATCAGAGTTGATTTGAAAACTCTTTTCATTTTACTCCAGATTTTCAGTTGTGCCAGAGGTAACTACTTTTCCAGGTCATTACAACTTGGGGTAGGCTTACAAAACATTCAGTGCAGGAAGAACTCTGCCTGCCTGCCAAGTGGTCCTGACACAACTCCCCCACACATTTTAGAGCCTGAGCTCTCTGCAGAAGGTCAGGTTTGCTCTCTAATCATTTGCACAGCTAAGGCAAAGTCTTAGATCCTCAGATGTCTGCTCAGAGCTTCAGGGATTTTCTGCACTTCAGACAGCAAGAGATAATACAACACTCCGTGGAGCATCTCATGCAAACAGCCAAGTGCTCACACCGCACTGGGAGAGACATCAGGCACTGCCAGAGCCTGCTGATTCCCCCTCTCCCCTCCCCACCAGCCTTCCCTCTGCACCTCTGCTATATTCCAGCTGCTGTTGGCTCTCCCAGAATGTTTATGCCATTAAGGATAATTACTATCTCCATGAATTCATCCAAGGGACAACGTTTGGCCCTCTGACCCACCTCCCCTGCCAGCCTGGGCCTACCACACACACTTGTGCTGCCTCTTTGCCTTGGGCTCTTGTGCTTCAGGGCTGACAAGGACTGTCTGGCAGGAATTCCTTCTGCTCTGCCAGCACCAGGGGGTTTGGAGCTGCCCAGTTCA